CTCCCTCTTTCTCTATGAATAAATAAAATCTTAAAAAAAAAATAAAAATAGGGATCCCTGGGTGGCGCAGCGGTTTAGTGCCTGCCTTTGGCCCAGGGCTCGATCCTGGAAACCCAGGATCGAATCCCACGTCAGGCTCCTGGTGCATGGAGCCTGCTTCTCCCTCTGCCTGTGTCTCTGCCTCTCTCTCTCTCTCTGTGTGACTATCATAAATAAATAAATTAGTTAAAAAAAATAAAAAATAAATACTCTGATGCTTGTTATATTATTCTTTGCAATTTGGGCTTTTTTTTTTCCAATTTATTGAATAGTCAATTAAACCTCTTCCCATCTACCCACCGCACCCAAAGTTACAATTAATCAAACAGGAAAGGCATACAAACAGGAAAGAACCCAGAGGAAACACCCACATTGGCAAAAACCGCAAAGCTGGTTGAAAATGCTCAACAGCCTGCTTCACACAGTTAAACAGTTATTCTTGAAAAAAAAAAAAAAAGCACCACCAACAACACACAACTTGAATTACTGAAAGGTCCTACTTCACACAGCTACTACACCACGTGAGTAGCTAGTTAAGAAATCATACAGATGGATCTGGGTTCAACAACTCTGCAAGTTATCTGCTCTATGGACTTCGGTACTTTTCTAAATAAATAAATAAAATATATTTTTTAAATGTACATTTCTAAATTTCTAAACAGCTCTGGTCTGAGTTGCCTTATATTAAGATGGGATTTACAATACCTCCCTCAGGAGCCACGGTGAAGACTAGCTTGGACACCATCTCTAAAGTGCCTGTTACAGGGCCTGATACATAGTTATTTGTTCAATAAATGGTAGTTATTGCTTACCTTGGAAGTGGGATTAGGACTCCCTGCTTGGGCATATATTTCAGCAAAGCAGATAGAAATATCCAAACTGGGGGAGCCTGGGTGGCTCAGTCAGTTGAGCGTCTGCCTTTGCTCTGGTCTTGGTCTTGGGAGTTCTGGGAGCCGCAGGCCATGCTTCCCTGCTCAGCAGGGAGACTGCTTCTCCCTTCCATTCTGCCACTCTCCCTGCTTGTCCTCGCTTTCTCCCTCTCTCCCTCTCAAATAAATAAATGAAATCTTAAAGAAAAAAATATCCAAACTGATGCACCAAAACAAGAGAATACCTAACATTCAAGCAAGCCCCTGTTGACTAACACGTATAGCTAAAAGCAATATAAGAAAGACTAGAGGGATCCCTGGGTGGCGCAGCGGTTTAGCGCCTGCCTTTGGCCCAGGGTGTGATCCTGGAGACCCAGGATCGAATCCCACGTCTGGCTCCCGGTGCATGGAGCCAGCTTCTCCCTCTGCCTATGTCTCTGCCTCTCTCCCTCTCTCTCTCTGTGACTATCATAAATAAATAAAAATTAAAAAAAAGACTAGAACTGCAGGATAAAGAGGAAAAATCCAATCTATGAATATAAAGGAATTTTTATATAAAGGAATATAAAGGAAATTTTATAAGTCCAACAGCAAAATGCAAACTGCCCTCAGGCAATTGATAGGAGTATTAACTGGTCAACAGATCCCATTAACTTGTAATCCACAAAGTCCTTAGACTTTAGACTTAGACATGTCAAGTTTTAGAAGATTTTATAAATTTCTAAGAAGGGGGGAATACTTTTAAAACATATTTGGGGGATGGGCACCTGAGTGGCTCAGTGGTTGATCTGCCTTCCGCTCAGGTCCTGATCCCTGGGTCCTGGGAACAAGTCCCACATCAGGTTCACTGCAAGGAGCCTGCTTTTCCCTCTGCTATGTCCCGCCTCCCTGTGTCTCCCATGAATAAATAAATAAAATCTTTTTTTAAAAATAAACAAACAAACAAACTTGGGGAAAAAATTGTTCTAGGTTTCAAGTCAAAAAAAAAAAAAAAGTCTCTCAAGGGCCTGATTATGAGGACACAGTACACGTCAATGGATTAAAAATTTGTAATGCTCTAACTCAAAAGTGATGAAAAAGGAAATAAAAGGTCAACTAGACCAATAAATGTAAGGAGAATTTATCACTTCACTAAAAGAAAAAAAAGACTAATGAATTCCCCAGAGGATCCATCCAAATTTGAATAGACCAAATTATCCCTGTATTTTATCTCCCCTTTTAAAACACACAAAAATTCTGGTTAACAATTCAATTTAGCAGTTTAAAATGTGGTCTTGATGTTTCAAACCATACACACAAAAATACCATAATAATATTCATAAAACAAAAAACTAAACTTTCTTAAAAAAACCACACAAAACTAATGTGTCTAAACATATGGTATAAGAAATTGAAAGTTTCTAAATATATTGGATATGTAACATATTTACACATTATGGATTATGTCTCTGCGGGTTTCTTCCTGAAAATGCAAGTCCTATTATGAGGCAATCAGAGAAATCTGAATGCCAACCGGATATTAGATTATATTAAAATTGTAACTGCAAAAAACTGTGATTGTTGTACTGTGGTTATGTTAATAAATTAGAGTCTACCCGTTGGAGATACTAAAGAATTTATGAAACACATAATCTCTGGAATTTGGCTTAAAATAATACGTTGGAGGCAGCCCGGGTGGCTCAGCGGTTAAGTGCCACCTTCAGCCCAGGGAATGATCCTGGAATTCCCTGGATCGAGTCCCACGTCGGGCTCCCTGCACGGAGCCTGCTTCTCCCTCTGCCTGTGTCTCTGCCTCTCTCTTTTTGTGTTTCTCATGAATAAATAAATAAAATCTTAAAAAAAAAAAAGATAATACGTTGGAAGTTGGGTACAGGGATGGGGAAGGAGGACATAAATGAAACAAAACTGGCCATATTTTGAAAATTGCTGAATTGAAATGATGGGTACATGGAGGTTCATCATTCTCTTTTCTCTAGTACATTTTGAAAATATCTAACATAAAAATTAAAAGATAAGGGACATGTGTATTTAAAACTAAAAGCCAACTCTAGTTGAAGAATTTTTAGGAACAGAACAGAAAAGCACACATACAAAGAAAAAAATCATCTTTTCAACACTGTTCTTATTCAAGTACGGTACTAGAATGTTCCTTCCCTTTCTATCCACCACTTTCTGCCCTCCTTCCCTCCTCCCAGATTTCTTGGGTTTCTGTGACTAGAGGATTTCCTCTATACTCATTCATAATTCACCAAAACTTAGAAACAGATTTTCAAATTGGTGCCTCACAACACATTCAATAAATATTTTTATTTTTTTAAAGGATTTATTTATTTATTTATTATTATTTATTTATTATTTATTTATTTGACAGAGAGACAGAGCCAAAGAGCACAAGCAGGGGGAATGGCAGAGGGAGAGGGGGAACCAGGCTCTCGATGATGAGACTGATGCCAGACTCCCTTGGGATCATCACAGGGGCAGAGGGCAGACAGGGGCTTAACCAATTGAGCTACCCAGGCGCCCTCAATAAGTATTTTTTTTTTTTTAATGATGGAGCACATTCAGCGCTTTTTAAAAATGTTACCACTTTGTCCTTTAAATTTTTTTTAAAAATACTATCTCATCTACGTCATCCATTTAAAGCACCGGTCATGGGCAGCCCGGGTGGCCCAGTGGTTTAGTGCTGCCTTCAGCCCAGGGCATGATCCTGGAGACCTGGGATCCAGTCCCAGGTCAGGCTCCCCGCATGGAGCCTGCTTCTCCCTCTGCCTGTGTCTCTGCCTCCCTCTCTCTCTACTCTCTGTGTGTGTCTCTCCTGAATAAATAAAATCTTCAAAAAAAAAAAAAAAAAGCCCTCATGTTTGGCATGGTTTACTACACATACACTGAGGGTGAGTCATCCAAAGGTTGTTGCTAAGAAGCACAAGATCAAAAGATTGACGGCCACCATTGTGGACACCAAGACAAACCACTTAAAGTTTTCAAGGAGGGGGCCAAGTGTGAAAAGTACTATATCAAGAAAAATAATTGAGCAGAAGTGCACAGGGACAGAAAAAGATGGACAGAGAGAACCATTCACTAATTGAACAAGATTTCAATCCGAAGTGGGGTGGGGTGGGGAAACCAAGCAGGAAGGGGACAGGAGGCCTCCAGAAGAAGGCTGGGTAAGGAAGGTATTGTGAAGGGTGAAGAAAAGGGGGCGGGGGCGTGCCAGAGACCCTGCCCTGGAGGAAGGAAGAGGGGTGTGACAGTCAGGGTGCAGACGTTGCCCAGGCAACGGGAGAGCAGAGCCCAGATGTAGCAGGGAGGCCGGGGCGGCCGGCAGACACATGGAAGCCATCTCTGCAGATGTGACAGCTGGGCCCAAGGGAGTGGGCTGTCCTCGGGAGAACAGACAGGTCAAAAGGCTTAACCCAATCCGCGGGGCACACTATATTTAGGAGGCAAAAAAAAAAAAAAAAAAAAAATGAACGAGTGGAAGAAACGCAGAAGCAGCTGCCTGAGAGGTACGCCGCCCTGTTTCAGAGGGGGTCCCAAGGGCGGGCAGTCACCAGCTCGGGCCACCTCGGGGACCCCGGGGCAGCAGCGCTGGGAGAGGACCCGACATCATCGGGAACCTCGAGGAGGGCCATTCCGCTCAGGGGGTGGCGGCTGGCTTCAGGGACCCGACAAGTGACCCCGAGGGGCCTGGCGGCGGCCAGGGATGGAGGGGTGGGGGGCAAGCGCAGGGCCCCCTCGCGGCGATGACGATCCGGGTGCGCAGGGACCACGCAGCAGAAAGGGAAAGCCTCGGGAGTCCAGGGTGCCACATAGTGGAGGCGCCGTCCTCGGTTCCCAAACCTGCCTCCAGATGCTCAAGACCCAGCGGACGTCCCCCACCCCCCCAAAAAGCAACATATTCCCCTGGGGGGAGGAGCGAGGCGTGGTCTTCCCCGGGGCGCTGTGGAGCCACCGGGGTTCGAGGACAGGTCTGGAGGCGGCGGCGGCCGGCGGGGGGGGGGGGCAGGCTGGAGGCGGAGGCCGGCGGGGACCGGGTCCCCACGACGGCGCGCCCCCGGCGGAGCCGCAGCCCCTGCGTCCGCGCGCGCTCACCTCTCCGCCTGCGAGTAGTGGCACCGGCCCAGCAGGTTGAGCTTGCAGAGGTGCAGGTCTTCGCAGGGCCTCTGGCAGAACTTGCGACGGCAGACGCGGGCGCGGGTGGCGGCCACCACCGCCCGGGTGACCCCGGCCCTGTCGCCCGTCTCCAGCAGCACGAAGCGGTCGGGCCCAGCCGCCTCCAGCACCTCGCGGAGCTGCGCCTCGGAGAGCGCGATCTCCTGCAGCAGCGCGTCCAGGGCCATGCGGCCCCCGTGGGCGCACAGGATCTTGGTGATGAAGCAGCACACCTCCGGGTCGGCCATGGCGCGCCGCGGGCCGGGCTCCGGCGGGGAATCGAAACTTAGGGGAGTCCGCGCGCGGGCGCGGGCGCGGGCGCGGGCGCGGGGGCGGGGGCGGGCGCGGGCGCGGGCGGTGCTCGGCCGGGCGCGCCCCGGGCGGGCGAGCGCGCGCTCCTCGCCGCCGCGAGCCGAACCAGCGGTTTCGCTTTCCCGCTCTGGGCCGCGGCCAGAGAGGTCAGAGCTCACGACCCAGGGCAGCCCGGGGGGCTCCGCGGTCTCGCGCCGCCCTCGGCCCCGAGCGTGATCCTGGGGTCCCGGGATCGAGTCCCGCGTCGGGCTCCCCGCACGGAGCCCGCTTCTGCCTCCGCCTGGGGCTCTGCCTCTCTCTCTGGTCTCTCGTGAATAAATAAATAAAATCTTTAAAAAAACAAAACAAAACAAAACAAACAACTCACCGACCCGATCCCGGGACCGGATCGAAATCAGTCGCGACGGCAGCCGGATTGGAAACCGGTCCGCGGGCGCGCGAGCCCCTCGCTGGGTGCGGGGCGCCGCGAGGGTGACTCCCCCCGCCCCACCCCCGGGGGGTGAAGAGAAACCAAAATGACCTGGGGCTCCGGTGGAGTGTTTGTAAGCCAGCCGCGGTGGCGAATGGCGTGAGCGTTGGGAGCCCCCTTGAGGAGCTCTCCGATCCCCTCCGCACCCATCCCGGGAAGAGCCCACCCCTAGCGAGCGCTCCGCGGGGAGCCGGGCGCCCTACCTGCGCTGCAAGCCAGTCTTCTCAAGGAACCCCAAGGGTTAGGTACCATTATCCTCTGTACTTGAGGAAGTAACTTGAGCAAACACAGCCATCAAGGTGGAACCTGAGAGCTCCCCGAGGTTCCCCAAATCATGGGCCCCAGATCGTGGTCCACCCAGCCCCCCAGCACCATGCCCTCTGAAAGAACAGCGAGGATTGCTCTCCCTCTCTTTTGCCTTCTCAAGGGCTTTTTGTAGAAACACTTTTTTTTTTTAAGATTTTATTTATTTATTCATGAGAGACACACACACACACACACAGAGGCAGAGACATAGGCAGAGAGAGAAGCAGGCTCCATGCGGGGAGCCCGATTCCAGGTCTCCAGGACTAGGCCCTGGGCCAAAGGCAGATGCTCCCCTGCAGAGACACTTCATAAGACGTCCTTACCTGCCTCTGGTCGGTAACAGGGGTGCCACTTTATTCCCAACAGCAAACGGTCACAGGCATGTCTAGAGGTATCCCAAGATTTCAGGTAGGTTCCTCTCTTCAGATATTTGGATAAGGCCTCATCCCTTGTGGAGACCCTCTTGGAGCCCCAGGGTCGGTATAAAGATTATTTTATTTTTCTTTAAAAGATTTTATTTATTTATTCATGACAGACACACACACAGAGAGAGAGAGAGAGAGAGAGAGAGAGAGAGAGAGAGAGAGAGAGGGCAGAGACACAGGCAGAGGGAGAAGCAGGCTGCATGCAGGGAGCCTGATGTGGGACTCGATTCCTAGTCTCCAGGATCATACCCCGGGCTGAAAGGCAGCGCCAAACCACTGGGCCATCGGGGCTGCCCTAAAGATTATTTTAAAGTGAAAAAATCAGAGCTACAGAAGATGCAGAAAGAAAATTTATCTGAAATTCTCTTAATCTGAAAGCAGAGCCTGCTGAAGATGCAGCTACCATTAATCCCCTTCAAAAGGAGCTTCCTGCTAATTCAGCTGCCCAGTAGAGACAGACAGCCCATTCCATTAACATTAGAAAGCGGGACAAAATCTTCCATAGTCTCCCATTAAAGCCCTAAAATAAACTCTTTTGTTAAATTGAGGTATACACACTTGGGCTATACACACTTGTCCATTACTGAGAGCTCCCCACCCCACTCCAACTCAATGTGAAAATAAACCTTGTCTTTTCTCCTGTTAATCTGTCTATTGTCAGTTAATTTGCAGATCCCCAAACACTGTATCCAAGTTGGAAAAGGAAACCGGTTTTTCCTCCCAACACTCTTCCCAAGTAAAATAAACGGGTCAGTGATCAGATAGTTTTTTGTTATGTTTTGTTTTGTTTTTTAATGATACAATTCGATTCTCAACTTAGAAGTTCTTCAAAACGGGGGCGCCTGGCTGACTCAACTGGAGGAGCAAGGGACTCTTTCTCAGATGGTGAGTTCGATCCCACCATTGGGTGTAGAGATTACAAAAATTAGTAAGTAAAACTATAAAAGCAAGAAATTCTTGAAAATGATGAGTGGAAATTCTACTTGGTAATTGGTGGTAGATGAACTGTGTCTCTGAGGAATAGAATACTTTGGCATGAAAGCCAGCCAAACATGGGTCCCACACAGGATCATCTGGCTTTTTGTTCCCTCTAGCTATTACTTCTATAATTGCCTTTAATCTACTTGGCCTTAACAGCTTCCCAGGACTGGGCTTTCATTATCAAATAAATTCAACATAGCATCTTCCATGTGACCTTTACATTAGTTAGTTGCTCTAAACATGCAGAAGTTTAAAAAAAAAAAAAATTGTTCCAGCCACCAAAAACCTTGTATTTGGGAAGACATGGAAAAAAACAAACCCTAGCAAAACATAAGAGAATCAATGGTTAAATGCAGCAATAGGTATGGAAGAGAATAGAGAAGGAAGAGTTTGGAAGAATGGGAAAGAAAGTTTTGGCGAGAATGATTGGGAAGAGATCTAAAATTCTAAATTCAAATCCATGAGAAACAAGGTAAGGATTGTGGGAAGGGAAAAGATGGGACATTTGGAGAAATTTTAAAATGTGTGCTGTCACAGTCTGGGTTCCCCAGAAGCAGATAACTGATAAGGAATTATGAGTACAGATAATCCCTGGGGTGTAACACCAGAGAAAATCAAGGGAAAAAGCAGTACTGGTCCCAAGGAGCTGTCAGACAGGGATACAGACCTGACAAAGGCTGTGCCAGCCCACTGGGGAGCAGGAGCCTAGCACTGGGCAGAAAAGCTTAAGCCCTTGCACCACTACCATGCTCAGCCATGGCCAGCCCACTGAAGAAGTGCAGGACTTTAGCTCAAACACTGGAGCAGACCCTGAAAGAGCTAAAACTGGAGGCTATCAGCTAAGCACATCTACTTGCAGTTGGGCAGGAAGCCCTGACTTGAACGGGGCGTTCTGAGCAACATATTGTGTCCTCTATGATCTACCCTGTGCACCACACAGATCTACTTCTCCATCCGTATTCAGGGAAAGGCTCCTTCAGGGTGGCTCTCAAGGGCCACTCTCCCTGAAAAGAAACTTAGAAGAGGGAACTGAACGGAAAGAACTCTAGCCTCTGTCACTGCAATTGGTTGCAAGGCCTCAACAGGTCCTCATCATATCCTTCTACCACTATCCATTCTAATTCTCCTCATCCCCAGCTACCACCTTAGCTTCCTTGGGTGAGTACCCCACATCCTGGTTCCTACGGGGTCTGAGCACCTTCTCAGGTTACTGCTCTTGTTTTCATTCACAGTCACAGTTGGGCAAAAGAGTGCCAACTGACATCCAGAAAAGTCACCAGAGTCCATGCATAGCCCTTCCTGTTCCCACTGTCTACTAGGTGCCCTAGCTCCTCCCACTGATGGGGTCAATGACCTCTGATAAGGCAGGGATTGTCTCATCTGCTAGTCTCTGACCTTTAGGAGGCCAAAGTGCTTGGTAGAAACCATAACTTGTAGTCCAATAGGAACTTTGCTGTGCCCCAGATAAGAACATGCTCTTTTTGGGGGCCAAGATCTCTAACTCTGCAGAGCCCAGAGTTGTAGGGACAAAGAAGCCCACTGGGTCATTGGAATAATGCTCACTAGGGCCACTCATGGAGTCCACTTACTGTTTCCCAATCCATGGATTCTTTTTGTTGGGGACACAGCATTCTACTAAGTTATCTTTTTGAAGGCATACACCAGAATGTCCTGGGGGAAATGTCATCGTTGCAGTGTATTGCCTCCACGCTGGAGCTTTGACTTCATCTTTAATTGGCCATTCCAATACTTTATCTATCCAGCAGCTTCTAGGTTGGTGAGGTATGTAATATGACCAGTGGGCTCCATGTTCATGGGCCCACTTCCCAACTTCCTGTGCCATGAAGAGTGTCCTCTGTTCAGATGCTACGCTGTGTGGGATCCCATGTGGGTAGATCAGGTGATACTTAAGCCTCCAGAGAATGGTGCCATTGAGGCCCTGCAGCCAGGGAAGGCAACTGCATACCTGGAATGAGTGTCTATTCCTGTGAGCGAAAACTGCTAGCTGTTCCAGGATAAAGGGGACCCAATGCAGTCAGTTGGTCACCAAGTATTCTCTTGGTCTCCTAAGGGATACAGTTTCACATTGGTCTTTACGGCTGGCAGATGAGACATTCAGTGATGGCAGTAGCTATAATTTGGCAAATGACAATCTATGCTGTTGGGTTTTGGTATCACCTCCATCTCTGCCACCATAGTTTCTTTATTCAGATACCCATATGCAGCAGTGAGGGTAGGGGGGTCTGACAAAGGCTGCCTAGGTTAATTGGCCAAATTATTTAGTCTAGTTGGCACATCTTTTGTAACAGATACCTACTAGCGGGCCTGAACATGTGATACAAACAACTTCCCATTTGTGTCCGCTCCTATATCTTCACCCAGATACATCTATTCCAGATTTTCTTGTCTCAAATTTTCCAGTGTTTTTCTTTCAGATAACAACCAGGTTACTGCTCACGAGCACACAAATGTTCTAACCTCGGGCCATTCTCCTTCTGCGCCGAGGGGATGACCAGGTGCACATCTCCAAGCCCTTCCTACTGGGGAGATTTTCCTTCACCACTGTTTTTCAAGATCTCCCCCAAGTGAGAGCCACTATTTTCAGCTTGTACTGCATACTGAGATGATTCATTCATAACCCTGACTTGGGCTTTTTTCCTTCCTCCTTTCACTGGTTATGTGGGACCCCCTCATATAACCAGAAGTGTAAGCTAGGGATAGGGTGCCCGTAGAAGCACAGTGAATGACATGGAGGTGTGGGCTATGTACTCATGCAGCTTGCCTATACCCTCTGGTCCTGCTTGTGCT